TTTTGCTGAAAGAGAAAATATCAGGCTGGAAGGGGTTGCAACAGGAGCTTCTCAGAAGTTTCCTTGGGGCCAATATGTTTCCTTAGTGGACCACAGAGTAGATACAAACTAACTTGTTATTGACTCAAACTTGCTATTGATACAAAATTGGGAGGAGTCGTCAGTACAGAGGAGGCAGAATATCCAGAGAGAGCTGGATGATCTTGAAAACTACAGGAACAGAAATGGGATGAAGTTCAATTGTACAGAGTGCAAAGTCATGCACTTAGACACTAACAGCAAGAATTTCTGCTATGAAACAACTGGAATTTCTGTTGGAAACAATTGGAAAAGAAAGATGTGGTTTACTAATCAAACACAGGAAGACTCTGAGCCATCAGCGTGATGTGGCTCTGAAGAAAAGCAAATATGTATCAGGTGCAGTATTTCCACTAGACATGAGGCGGTGTCAGTGTCATCAGATAAGGCACTAGTGAGACTTTGTCTGGAATAGTGGGTACAATTCTGTTTGTTCCTGTTCAAGAAAAAGGAACTGAACTTACAGTGGAAGAAGTGCAAAGAAGGGCTACTAAAATGGTCAGGAAAATTGAGTGCCTGTTTTAGGAGAGTTTGATTTGCTTAACTAAGCAAAATAAACATATTAGAGGTTGAGCACCAGGGAAGAAAAATCATTGTTTAAGCAAAAAGGATAATACTGGCAGAAGAACAAATGAATAGACATTGGCCATCAGTAAGGTCAGTCTAAAAATTAGCAGAAAGTTACTAATATCAAGCAGTGAGGTTGCAAAGCAGCTTTTGAATCAGAAAACACTGGATGGGGCTTAACAACTCAGTATTTAAAAACTTAAACACCGATGGAGCTTATTAAACTATGAATTGGATTAAATGACCTGGTCACGTGATAACAAGGGAACAAGACTGGAAGCTTCTTCCCATTCTGTGTTCTTTATTCTACAGAATGGAAGGCTATACAAGGGCTAAAGAGCAGCTGTAAGAGGTTCTGATGTAGTACGTGAGGTTATAATCTCTAAGCAAATGTACTTGGTTTAAGTAGGAGGGAAAGCAAAAATTTTGAGTTCTGTCAGAAAGTTTTATAATGAGTCACTTCAGCAAAAAATAAAGGAGAGAGCAACAGCCTGTGAAGACTTGCAGTAATGCCTGCTAATAGAAGTTAAGTAAATCAGAAACATTAGGTTTTCTTGCATTCAGAATATCAGTGAAAGAAGTTGGTCAGTCAGGACAGCTTCCTTCTAGTCATGGTGGTTTTTGGATGCATTTAGGATCCTACAGTATATGTTGTTAGAATAGCTGAGAAGAGTTGCTGATCAAATAGCTAATGCTTTTGTACCTACATTTTTTAAAAACTGGAATGACTGTAATGGCTGCAGTTACACAAATGCTGATGAAGATACCTGATTGTATGCTATCAGTGGGAATTAAAGAGTCTGTAACTGGTCCACAAAACCAGATGAAAGAGCGATTGTCTCTCTTGATTTGTACAATCCAGTTGCTCATATAGAGCTCAGATTCCTTTTTGGCCTTTGTAGTCTTCAGTTTTTGCAGTGTGAGAGTAAGTTGGGAAAGTTTTTCAGAGGCTTGAACAGAAGATGGAGAGGGATGTGCAGATGTGTTACTAGATTGTACTGAGAAGTAAGCCAAGGATATGCAAATAGAAATAAAAATAGTTGTATGGGCTCATGTCTTCATAGAGTGTTGCCTTACAAAGTAGGGAATCTCCTTTGCAGCAGACAGCCTATTCAGTAATGTGGACTTGCATTTAAAATTTAAAAAAAAGACGGGTATATTTAGCTTATGCTGTAAGGCTATCCGACTAAGTAGGTTGTGGCCAACGAAAGCTTATGCCTCTCTGAAACAGTTGTTGGTCATGGTGGCACCTTAGACACTCTTCTGCCTCACTTCAAGCCAGCCTGGCTATCCACCTCTATTTGTCTACATTTGTGCAAAAAATTTACTTGAATTATTACAGTTAAAGAATCAATTACACTATTATACCAAAAAACTGTAGATTATTCTGCAGGAGTGAGAGCAACATCCTTGAAGAGCAGGTGGTCAGGGCCAAGGAGTGAGCCTTGCTGGTCAGTGTGGTAGATAGAAGTGTTCTGCTACTGGAATAGGGTCTAATCCAGTGTACAATGTCATTGGAAAGGCTCCTATTGATTTCATTGCAGATGAAGTAGACTTTGTACAAATAGCAGATCACTCACCTTCTGAAGCAAAGAGGAGAATCGGAAAGAGAATTATATCATTACTGTGAGTGAACTCTCAGCCCATCCCATCATCTTTCAGACCTGTCTGGGCACTTTTTAAACTTAACAAGCTTTTGGACAGCATTTAAGTCTGGCGCAGCCCCAGGCTATGACAACATCTCCCCTGAAGGATCTTGGCCCACATGCTCATTCTTGGTCAATTCTTTACAAGGGTCAATTGCGAGGGAAAGCTGTCAAAGATCTGGCTCATGTCAAAAGTCATTGGCCTCCCAAACCAGGAAAAGATCTAAGCCAGATGTCAAGCTACCACCCGATATCACTGCCGTTGGCCTGCTTTAAAGTTCTGGAGTGCCTGATTTTACAGTGCATACTCCGAGGCGGAGAACATCCTGAGTATCGATCAAGCGGGATTCCAACAAGGTTGAAGTATGTGTGACCAAGTACTTGCGCTAACAACATTTATTCAAAACACTTTTCAAAGGGCCCTCAAGACAGGCACTGTTTTCCTTGACCCCATAGCAGCATACGATACTTTTTGGCACACCGGTCTGCTTGAAAAAATAGTAAGAATCCTACCCGTCCTACCTGCATGGTTGACTGACATTGAACTGCTCTTTCACAATAGATGGTTCAGGGTGCACATGGGTGAGAAGACAAGTACTTGGGGAATACAGTCTAAGAGACTGCCTCAGGGATTTGTGCTTGCTCCAACCTTGTACAACATCTGTACCCATAACCTGGCACAAACCCAGTCACAGAAATTCATCTATGCTCATGGCATCTGCTGTGAATTCCAGGCTCGGACTTTCTCTGAGCTAGAACACAGTCTGAAAAGTGATGTTGCAAAGCTGGCTGACTACGACAAGATTTGGTGCTTCCAGCCAAGCATCAGTAAGAAGGTTTCCAGCTTTTTCCACCTACACAGTGCCAGTGCTGCCTGGGAGTTGAGCATCTACCTGAATGGTCAGAGGCTGTTCCATTTTAACTCTCATTGCTGTTTTTTTCAAGTATTTATGGTAGCTCAACGTTCAGTCTAGCATCATGCCTAGGATAGATGGGTTATGCTTTGTGCCTCAATCTCTTTAAAGTGGCTGAGTCACCTTGGGGTGCAAGATCCTCAACCCTAAGGATATCAGCTCTTGTCATCTTGTACTGTGCAGCAGAGTACCGCGTACCAGTCTGGGACCAGTCATCACACACCAAACTTGTTGACGTGCAGCTACATTTGACGATGCTTATCATCTTGAACCCTTCAACCGACCCCTCTAACATGGCTCCCAGTCCTGAGCAACATTGTTCCCCCTCTTATCTGATGGAAAGTTGCAGCTGGCAAGCTACTGGAGAAGATCTATGCTAATCCAAGTCTGCTGCTGTACAACAGTCTTTTAAATCCACCCGCTGCACATCTACCATCATGACACCCAGCATGGTCTCAACTGCCGCACCAGGACTGCATAGCAGAGACCCTCTGGTGTAAGGAATGGAGGTCGACATTACCAGCAAACTAGTTCCTTATCACAGATCCTACAGTCTGTCCACCTGGCTTCAACCTGCCACGCCATCAGTGGGCCTTGCTGAATAAGTTCTGGACAGAGTTTGCGGCCAGCCCCCACCACTGGGGTCTTCACGACAATCCAGACCGTAGCTGTGGCAAAACACACACCATGTCTCGTATGGTTGATTGACTGTCTGCTTACTAAGTTCAGTGGAGGTCTCCAGGAACGGTACATGGCCACTGAGGATGCTATCGCATGGCTCAGCAATTATGCACATGCTGACCAACTGGGGGATGGCTGGACCCCAGTGTATCACCTTTCAAGTGAGTCCCCTAGCTACCAGGCTAGCCAATCCTCTCTCCCTTGCTATATCAATGAATCCTGGTGTTTTATACAGAGTGAAACTGTCACCTGGAGGACCTGAGATAGTGCCACCACAGAACACCTGTAGTGTGGTGTCTGGAAAGCTCACAGGAGAGGTCTCAGTGATATATATACTCACTTATTCAGAGAGAGGATTTTAACCAAGGTCTCTCATATTCTGGGTAAGTGACCTGACAATTGAATTTTGTGTTTAAGGGAGACACTATTTCCCTTTCCTCCTCTGGCAGTTTTGTGAATAAATGTAGTCCTTTATTTCCTTCACTTTCTGTAAGTGCTCAAAATTGAACATTTTGCTTTGAGTTGAATGGTGCATTTGACGTGCAATGAAAAGTTTCGGGTTTTTGTTGTGGTGGGAAGAATGGAAAAGAAAAAATTTAAAATTTAAACTCAGTTCAGTTTGAACAGAACTGTTTCCCATTTATTTTTTCTTGTAATTGCTTAGCTGAAAAGTCAGTTGTTAGCTCAAATGAAGTAAAAATGCATGGCAGTTTGATACAATTAAAGCTCTTGCAGTAGCTTGATGTAGAGTGCAAAAATTCAGTACCCAAAGTCTGAGGAGAATTAAAAGAGAGAATGCATGTACTGTATATGGGAATGCAGACTTCTTTGATTATTAGCAGCATAAATGCCCGTATAGCTTTCCTGTCTACCCTATGCTGATGATGGAAAGAATGCTGTCTCGGATAGTTCTACTCACTCTTAATGATGTGCGTCCTCTTGAATGATTCATGGGGATAAGTCTTTTATTTTATGATGACGTTTTCTTCTTATAAGTAAGAACATGATACAACTTGAGGCAAACTGATTTTCCTGCACAGGAAAGCACAATAGATTCCTTATTTTCTGGAACAAAAACAATTGAGAAATACATATCTAGTGAAAGGATGACTTTTATGTTCAACTCTTCCAAATATTGCAGAAACAAAGTTTCATTATTTACTGTTTGTTATATATGTAATTTGTTTTTTAATTGTAGCATGGCTGGATACCTTTTTTAGGCAGGTAAGTCTTCTCATCAAACAATGGCTTATTTCACATGTGGATAGCTAATTGCAGTTTTTTGTCTCTTTAGAAACATGAAGATACAGACTGCCCATGTGTCATGGTTTCATGTCCTCATAAGTGTAGTGTTAAGACACTCATGAGAAGCGAGGTAAGAAGTCATGCCTAGAACCTCACTAAAAAATTCAATAGCAGTCTATTCAATAGTGTTCAGCATCAAACTTTGTTATTAGTAAGATCTTGCAAGAATTTTGCCAGAAGCCATTTCCTTATTAATATGTGAGATCTAAAGAAAAGCTTTTTCTCCCACACAGTTGTGTGATTACTTCTTCAGTAGTTTTAATGATTTCTTGGAAAATTATCTGCAGAAATTAATTTCCTAATTTTCTATGTTTATTACACATGGCTTGTGAATGATTATCTTATCTTCCCTGCTTTCACTCTTCATAAAAATGGAGTTCTGTGCATTTATTGAAGACAGTAGAGCAGTCTGTTGGGATAATGTTAGGTCATGGGTATTTTTTTCAGTATTCAGTGAAGGAAGTGTCAGTATAAATGAAGAAATCTCAAACACTAGTAGCATATACTAACACTGGAGCTGACAAAGGGAGTAGAGAATTTGTTAAAAGAATGGTTGTCATGTAGAGCCAGACCATGAAAAATATTAAAAATGAGACTGCTAAACTTGGAAAGAAGGGGGAGATGCTGTCTGATATTCAGATACTACGCTAGTGTTGGACCGTTGGCAGTATTTTACATAAACAATAACTAAGCCAATACACAATGGTGAATGGTATGTAGAAGGCTGTTCAAATTATAATGAACTTGATAGACCTTGATTATAAATTGGAGAAAGAAAACATGTATGCAATAGATAATTAACCTATGAAATGTACTGCCACAGGATAAATATTAAGTATATAATTTAAATGTTGGATCCTTTTTATGAATAATGTTATCTTGTGTATTTCATATTACTGGGATAAAATTTCAAAAACTATCAATCTCCTTGTTTCAGTTGATGGTAACTGTTTACCCCAAAACAAAGAAGAAACTTGCTTCTGGTATTGCTTGTGGTATAGAAAGTTGTAACCTTTCCTTGAAACCTCCAGAGTTGATTGCTTTCAGAGAATGAATGGCTGGGCCATTGGTCTTTTCCAGTGTGGCATCACCCTGTGATCAGGTGTGATGAGCTACTAAAATGGATTTAACTTGTGTAAAAGCTTCAGTTAGTACTTCAGACAGATGGATTTTTTTTTTTTTTTTGTACCATGTGGTCTCTGTGTGACTATTCCTGTGTTTATATGGATCTGAACAACAGCTGCACATGTGCATATTCTTCCTTAACAAAAAAAGTCAGTCTTATTATATCGTCTGAGATGGAGGAGAGCATATTTGTCCCCAGCACTTGTTTCTGCTTTTAGATTCACTACTTTGAAGCATCTGAGTGAACTTTCCTTTTTCATAGGTAGTCCATTAGATTTTCTGGGTTGGACTCTCTTCTTCGTGTATGCATAAATCCTTTTATTGTTATGGTATGATTGATAATTGATACTGCCCAAAGTGTGCTAGGCACCTTCCAACCATAGAAGGTCATCTCTACCCTAAGGAACATGTAGTCTAAAAAGTACACGAGGCATTGCGCATAATAATATACATTATCCTTTTGTAATTGAAACATAGGTACGGTTGATAATGATATACAGAAAAGCCAGCCTTGGGGGCCCATGCTGCCAACACTGACTACTGAGATTAGCCCCTGATCCCTGTAAGAGCAGTACTTCTGCATGTTCCCAAGTCCTGATTTCAGTGCCACTCTGAGTAGGGATGGACCATAAGTACATCCTTCACTTAGCCCTTACTTTTGGTTGTTCTCTCCATTAAAGACAATAGCTCAACTTACATTAGTAAGCATTGAACTTAATAGTAAGTGTTGGCAGAATTGAGTTCTGAAATTGTTGGTAGAGTTGGAACTTAACCAACCACCATCTTGCCCTGCATCATCATTTTGTTATTTGTTTGTTTAATCTTGCTTCTAATGTGAAAATTATAATTGAAGCATAATTGCATGATTAGGGACAGCCATTATAATATGACATAGGAAAATGCCTGCCTAACAGTTTGAGGAAAATTCTATAGTATAGAAATGAAGAAAATGCAATATCTTATTGTAGGAGAACAACAACTCTTAATATGTGGAAATTGTGACTGTTTAGCATTGAGAAGATGGAAGGATTAGTGCCCTAGTGAAGCCCTCTTATGATACATGTGCTGTTCCTGACTTGCTGCTGTTTGTATTTTTTTCAAATGACATGTTCCTGCTGAGATAAAACAAAGTAGGTATATATCAGAAGTAGATGACTTTAATCACCTCAACATTAAACTTAGAAAATCCATGTTTCCTTAGAGCCTTTGATTCCATTGTTGCCCGTTTTGTAGAGATGGATGAATGGAGTACCTTGGGGCTTATTTTGCTGGGGGGAGTGTCTTTTAAATGACACATTAAATATTTTGAACTTGATATGAGTATGAGTTTGTCAGCTGAAGGTCGGCCCCTAGGTCCTGCCTGCTCTGTGTGAAAATAGACTAAGGTACTTTTCAGAAGAAATGAGGCTTGTCGTCATGTCCTTTCCAAGAACGTCCCTTCGCTCCAATTCTTAAGCAGTTTGCATCTTGCTCCTACTCTTTATACCAAAGATGGCTGAATGTCAATAGGGCTGTGTGTATATACTTCTATGACTTTTTTTTTTTTAGAGACACTCCTGTGGTCATCATAATCCAGAATATTGGAGAAAACATACATCTCAATCTGTACAAAATGCAGGCATTTTACTACTTAAACATTTAATTGTGCACTGCATAATAAATGTGACTCAACTGCACCCTATTATAAACTATTTGTCTGTTTCACTCACTATTTGTTTATAGTCTTGGTTGTGTAGTTTAATTTTAAATTTTGGCATTGAGAATTGCATGCTATGTTTTGAACAATCTGTTCCCAACGAAATGAGAGTCAGAAAAGATGTATGTTACTACAGTGAAACTGGTCCTAAGTGACCACCCAGGGGACCAGCAAAAATAATTGCCCGAGGAAAAAATAGCTTTTAATTAAAGTAAGTTGAAAACGTACAGCAACACTTAAGTTTCTTCTAAGTGTTTTGTCCCCAATTAGACTGCTTATTGAAATGGTCTTCATTGGAAGTTTCACTGTATATTAAATGTGTCATTCTGTATATTGTACTGGCATGTGTGTGTGGTTACATGTGTATATACAGTATATGGACTCTGGGTCAGATTGTAGAAAATATACACACATATTGTATGTTCTACAAATTGCACAAATAATAGAAATCCAATAATATGTGCTCTTTATGTTTTGAGCATTATCATGCAAACGTTTTTGCCAAAACTCATATTTTTTTCCTATTGCAGTTGAATGCACATTTGTCAGAATGTATTAATGCCCCAAGTACCTGTAGTTTTAAGCGTTATGGCTGCACTTTTCAGGTCAGTATATAACAATTATGATTCCCAGTTGATGAAAGTCTGCGATAAATAAAACTTAAATAAACTTTGACTTGAAAGTTTTTGACTTTTCTAGTCTTGGTTAAGAAACATTCATCTAGTTGCATGAGTGATTATGCAGCAGGTGTTCATTTTTGCATTTATTAAATATAATATTAAAAAAACACCCTCTAGCAGTGTTTGGGGATGTCAGTTAGCCAGATACATCTCTGTGAAATCTGAATATATTATGTCAAGAACTTTAACTTTTCTTAGAAATAAAAGGAAAATGTCATTTTTTTGCTCTCCAAAATGGTAGACTAGTAATGTCAGTAGTGTCTATGAAAGTATTCATTTATGTTCCTGAATGAAACTTGTTTATACTTTCTCATGTCTGTGTATCTACCATATGATTTAGAAATAGGTTGGCCCATTTTAAATGTGTATTTTATGTGCATTCGGATACATGTGTGTGCAGAGAGGTGTAGAGTCAAACTACAGTGCCACATTTAATAAAAGAATGGCTATTTAAATCTGAAAGGTCACCCCAGCACTAAAAAAAAAATCCCTTGAAGATAGTTTTAATGGTATTATTGCTCTATTTTGCACTATTATACCTTTCTTACTGAGACTGTCAATGTATTTTTGACAGCTTTCCAGTAAAGAGGTATCTTGGAGAATTAAAAAAAACTGCTGACAGGAAAAAAGGGAGTTTATCAAATAAAACATCATAGATTCATAAATCCATGATGACCTAAGAGATCAGGATTATAAGAAACAGCACTTTTAAATAAACTTTTTCCCCCCTGGAGTTTTGGGGCCTGATCTTCTTAACCCTGAAGAAATCAAAAGTCTTTCCAGTTGTCCCTAAGTGACCTAGATGAGGCCCTTAATGTTCTGCCCATAAAAATAAGGAAAGCATTCAACAGTTTAAACCAAAAAAACAATTTTGCTCTTACATGTAAAGTAATCAATGATCTAGCACTGCCCATTGTTATGTCTTATGTATGCCATTCATTCTTTTTTGTATGTATATGTGTGCATATATGTACATATATTCACATATATATTTTGAATATTTTATATAGAGTGCATACATTGAAGATCACTGAAACTTTTTCAGTTGCTTTGCAGCATGTCTAGCATTAAAACTAATGTAATCTGCATTGCAAAACATTTACAAAAAATAACTGTATTGCAGTATATTATAAATGATGTAGAGGTAATTATGGTCTGCATCTTATGTACTCTATATAATATCTATGTGTGTTTGTAAATTTATATAGCGCTTATTTGTAACAACAGTTGCAGATTGTGCAGGGGCAGCTAATCTGAACATCATAAAGCAGACATGGAAGTATCTTGCTAACTTCTTATAATGGCAAATTAGCTTCTGCAAACTCCTTTGACAGATATAACAAAGCTGGCAGTTTTTAGTTATGAGAATTTATCTTAACCATTTCCCTTACTAGTCTCACTATATTCTCACTAAGGGAATTTCATAATAATCCATAAAATGCAACATATGTTTAAATTACTCTTTGGGGAATTGGACATTAGTGATTGTACAATTTGAGTGTGTTATTGTGCTTTCCTTAGCCTAAAGGCTATACAGATAATTGTAAAACACAGTTCATTGGTGTAAATTACTTCCTCTTTATTTCCTCTGATATATCAAGTTGCATTAGTTGATCAGTATGGAAATGTACAGCAGTTACATAGAACACTTGTTCTTTAATTAATTTTTGATTTTTATAGGTTCCCAGCTAGATTTCCCTCTCTCCACATTCTTGCAACATGCATCCATGTACCAACATGCATAGTGCTGGTTTTATGTTCTTGTTATATTCTTTCTTTTTAGGTTTTTTTTAAAGCAAAATTGGCTAAAATGTATAAATTCTTTGTTGTCACAGGGAACAAATCAGCAAATTAAAGCACATGAAGCCAGCTCGGCAGTGCAGCATGTTAACTTATTGAAAGAGTGGAGTAATGCTCTAGAAAATAAGGTATATCTTCTACTCGCTTTAATTTTCATTCATTTCTTTAAATTCTGAATTTTTTTTTCCCATAGCTGTTTGGAAATACAGCTAAAATGCCCGAGGCTCAAAAATTAATCAAATCATCAGTGTGCTCTCCTCTTCATTGTAGTAGAACGCCATAAGAAACTTGGCTTCACAATTAAATACATAAATTTTTTTCATTGGTTGTTGTGAGAGGGTATGTTAATATTTAAGCTGTCAAGTAGACAAACAATAAGTTTCAAGTCCCTCTTTTTAGGCAAGAGATTTAGGCAAAGTTCTGCAGTGTTGGGAGCTGCACCAGCCTCTGTTTTTCTGGAAATAAGATCCTGCAAAACTCCACTTAATGACCCAGCTTTATTTTTAACAAATTTTAATTATCCAAAGCTCTCCAAGCTTTTTGATTTGAAGAGAATGTAACTAAATGAACATACTGTTACTCTGAAGCCCTCTGCTTTCTGGTTTGGTGCTGGATCTAATTGAAGTTGGATTTGCAACGCTCCCCTGGGACTCCTGTGTTTTACAGAATGTATTTTTGGAATTTCAGAGAATTTACTGAGAACCTAGGTACTGAAGATTGCCTTAATAAAGTCCTTTGTTTAATTTAAATTAAAGCCCTTTGATTTTATTTTGAGAGTAGATCCTTTAGAAGCTTTGGCTTTAAAATATTGCATCCAGTTTGTTTGTTTTTTAAAAGATTCAGTATATTTTAAACCATTTTATGAGAGTCTGTATGCATTTTAACGTGAATACAAGTTTGGATGGCTTAATTAAATACTTTGTTTCTCAACAAATTGCACAAAATCTAAAAGAAAAGTCAGGAGCCCTTTTAAGTTGTATTGTAGTGTGTTCAAGCAGAGGTGTAATATTAGTGTAGCAGCAAAATAAAACAATGTAGATGTTAGCCTACTGACAAACAGAGAAGTAACTTTGTGGTTTCAGTCTTTGTACAGAAGTTTATTTGTTGGAGCTTAGAGCACAGTCTGGAGACCAAGTTTCCCATTATGCAAGTGTTTTAGCTCGGAACCCAATAAGAAAATATTTTTTTGTATGTGGGAGAATTCTTCCAGCAAAATTCTCTTACAAATCTATTAATTATATCTTATAGTTTCACTGTAGACAAACAGTGCTGCTCTTTACACTCGCATGTCAAGCTAGCAAAAATTGTCATAAGATAGTGACCGTGTAGGTAGATGAAATATTTCAACTTTAATGAATCCAATTTCATATTTTTGGTTCCTTTTTCAATAGTCTGTTGATGCAAAATAAAGCATGTTGTTTGAACTAAGGACCACCTGTCATCTTCTTTTCCAGTTTTCTTTAGTGTGCTTAAGAGAAGAGTTAAAATCATCCTGAGAGGTGCTCAGCAGTTCTGAAACTCCCTCTTAATGCTAAAAGAATAAACCCCGTAGTAGTTTTCCTTGTTTTAGGGCTTATCATTGTCTCTCTTTTCACCTTCTGCTTTGTAGACTTCTTCCAATTCATAATAGAGTTGCATTACTGGAAATCGCAGGAAAGTGCCAAGTTATCAGAATAATTAACCAGACGTCATATGTCAGTAATTCTATTCTAGAGAGGTGTGATAAAATTATTTGCAACTTAGTAGGTATCCTTTTCTAGGCATTAAAGGGAAATATGCCCTGAATTAAATTATTGCAGAAAGGTTGTTTCTACTTAAAAATGTAGGAGAAATCCTGATATCATTGAGGGCAAAAAGTGTCATCTTAATGCACCCTGTATATTCAAGTTGATTTGTATGGAAGGGAAAAAGAGAAGTTCATTCTCCCCCCATCACTTTGGGTCTTTAACACAGCACTCAAAGGTTGTGAAAACTAAGTCTTCAGATTAGGTGTGTATTAATTTATTACATTACAAAAAACAGACTGAAGAGCCCCAGTCTTAATATTTAAACGGAAGGTTATTTTGAGGTTGGAAAATTAAAATTAAAAAAAAAAAAAAAATCATGATTTTGAGAGCATCCTCCTGCTGGGCCAAACTAAGCACCTGAATCTGAACATTTGGAATTTGGGGTTTTGGCAACTATGACTCAATCCAAACTTTCATGGCTTGGTCTTATCTCCCGAAACCTACCATGTATGTTTCAAAACAAAAGTAATTGACACAAGTTAAACAGGTTAAATGGCTGTTCTGTCTGGGATGAAAGGGAACTTTTACACATGGGTAACTGGTACCTCCTGAGTCTTGAGGGGGCACCCACAGAAGCTGGCAGAGGCGTTGGCACTGGGGATGGGGCTGGTGAGCACCTGCAGAAGCTGCCAGCGGTGGCACCGGCAGGGATGGCCCTGTCAGGTGTGGGAGGGCACATGTCCCCCTGTGCCCCCCCTTACCAGTCGCCTATGCTTTTACATGTGCTTTGGGAGGGACAGAGGGGAGGGGGGAGAATGGGATGGTGCTTTTAATTAGAGCCACTCTAAAAGCAGCTTTAATTAAAGTGCTGCAGCATCTTGTGTATCAGCATCCTGGAGCCTCCGTGCTCATGTACAAGCACCCAAAGAATTTTTCACTCTTAATTTGGTTTGTGTTAATTTTCAAATAGCAAAATAACAATTAGATTTAGTACTATTGGAAAACAGCTAAGAAGATTGCACTTGAATATTTGAAATATGACTTAACATGCTTTTTTTCATGGACTCTTGAATTGAGGTACATTATGCAAAATACAGGTAGTCTTTTGTCCTAATTTTAAAACTAGTTTAGTTGAATTTAAAATGAGTACACCAAATTAAAATTATAACCTTGTATATTTATTTTATTAGGGTCCTCTCCTTGTGCCTGTTGTTTTCAGATTGAGTGGTGTGTTATCAATGAGAGTTTTGTCTGATTGGGGATTACAGCATGTAGCCCTCTTTTGTATTTTGTAAACTTGGTGGAAAATCTCAGCACAAGACAGGCCCCACTGACTGTAACGTCCACAAAAACGGGAAACTCACATCAACAATTCAGAGCAAGGTTGGCTTGTGATCAGGTCCTGCTTGTCAGGAGATAGCAAGAGGGGAAAAAAGGGAAAGAAGGAATGTAAACGTCACAATTAAGTAAAGAACTCCGATTCATTAAGGAAAAGATTGATACGCATGTTAAGAGTAGCTGCTCAGCAGAACTGATATATGTGGGAGGCAAGAGTAGAACTAGGAGACTGTCAGGCTATCTCTGTACTTGAAAATTATCTCCAGTACATCAGGCATGCATTGTTTCAGTGACAGGCACAGTTCTCTCTGTAATGCAAGGGGGGGAAAAAAAAAGAACATTGTGTTATTTCCACCAGCTCTTTTTTAAGGCCCTTGTCTATATAGTTTATATAGGTGTTGTTTCAATATCCATGTCTTTCTGTTGGGCTTTTGCCCCATTGAGCATCGTCAACCTGTTTGGGTCTTCAGCAACTATTGTTCCATTTTGGGGGAGACGGAAAACAAACTTTATCTTGGCACATATAAAGGTTGCTTTGAGTGCCATTTTATTGTTTGAATGTGATGTAGAATAATTAGCGCAAATGAACAATTATCACTTTTTAATTGGTCAAAAGTAGGGTTTTGTCCATGTAAGAGGTGAGAGACTTAGATCAGCTGGGCTCTTTCTAGAGCACTGCTGAATATCATATAGTTAATGCATACATTTTGCTAGGAAGAAATTTTGTAAAATGTGATGCATATAAAGATTGTTTGCACTGTTATATACAGTGATGGGAATGCTGAGTCTATCTTCATGGCTCCAAATAGAGGTTGCATGTAATAGTCTAATAGCGTAATTGGTATTTTTAAACAAAAACAGTCACTAATGTGTAATGATAAAAAGATGGGTTCAAAGAGGGAGAAAACACAGTGATGTTCAGTGCTTCCTTCCTCTTTGGGGGCTGGGAGTTTTTTAGATTTTCTAGAATGCACAGACTTCATCTGCAGTTATATCAACTGAGCTGCTTTGACAACCTTTCTTAGTATGAGGCCATTTCAGTCCCATGCAATTACCTTGTTAAACTCTTTTCAATTGGACCATACATGGAGGAGCAGTATTCACTAATCTCTGTCTTTCCTACCTAGGCCTTTTCAATGCTCCCTTTCTCTGGCATTCCTCTTTGCAGTTCTAACTCTCCTGTCAGCACTTGGGAACTAAATAGGCTGCTCTTGAACTATATGCCACACTTAAGTTAGTGAGTTGAATCTTGGAAGCTGACCTGTTAAACAGCAACCAAATAAAAAAAGCCACTGTGTTTAGAATTAAGATTAATTGCTGCTCTTGTATATACCATTTTCTCAATTACCTAGGCTAAGTACAACACGGTGGGAGTGGAAAAATAGGTATTAGAACTTTCACATTTTCTTGCAATGTTATATATATGTTATAGGTATGGAGAGGGATTTTGCTAGGATCTCACTTCTGGGCTCATGGGACATCTCTAAGGTAGTTTAAAAAAATGAAGTTTCAGATATTTTTCATAAACTCTGGCGGGAGTAATTGTAGCATTTTTTCCAGGTTGCCATGCTCCAGAATGAAAGTTTGGAAAAGAACAAGAGTATACAAACTTTACATAATCAGATTTGTAGCTTTGAAATAGAAATTGAAAGACAGAAGGAAATGCTGCGGAACAATGAATCTAAAATACTTCATTTACAGGTAAGAAATTTACTCTTCCCATTAAAACAAAAATGGCAATCACTTCTGTACATTTACACTTGCCAAATGAGATTTTTTTTATTAATATCACTTTCATTCAAATGGAGGCATTCACAACATTATAAAATTTTGAAGTAAAGCATTTTGTTTTGCTCAGTATCTGGTTCTTCATACGGAAATGTCTTGGATGGTTTTTAAATAATTTTCACTAAAATATTAAAATGGACTAACCCACCCCACCATAAAACAGTGATGCCTGCAATTCTGCATTTTAAAGAAAAAAGTTCAAAGCTAAAATACACCTTTAATCCTAAGCCTATAATTATTTTTTGCTGCTCCAGAAAACAAAAAATCTGCTTGACCAACCACTGCTACGCTGGAAGGAAAATCTATTGCCAAAACTCATTAACTTGTCCTATACTCATTCTGTATTTCCTTATTGGTATTTGGGAAGGTATTCATCATGGGTAAAATTCAGCAGGTCAGCATGGGTTCTCTGCAGTACATTTGAATAATTTTTTTTCTCCAACATATTCAGCGTTCTTGTCCCTGAGCCTTTCAGAGAAAATCTCTCTGAAGCGCCTTTCATCCCCAAGAATATCTTTCCAAACTGTTACAATACCATTCTTTTAAGCATTGTTCTGACACATCCACCTCTAGGAGAGCTGTTTCAACAAAACAGTACAATTGTTTATATTAATTTTAAGAAGGCTGTATGTAGAAACACCGTATTGAATCAACATTGCCAAATAAATGTAGGTGTTTTAGGCAGAATGGAAACGTACGGACTAGAATGCAACTGGCATTAGATTTGTATTCCCTGGCGGGGCGGGGGGGGGCCATGACTAGCAGCACTGTCCTTCCACACTACCATGCTAGGACCCTTGCTGACTCGAGAAGAATACCTACTTGGAACAGCAGCACCATATCCTTCAGAACTGTTTCTTGGCATCTCCTTTCCAAGTGACCCAGCCTTCCCTTGCTTAGCTTTTAGCATTTGGTGCAAGCTATGGCTGCAACACCTGCAATATTGAATTCCACCACTGCGGAAGCAATTCAGGGTAAAGGCATTGCTCCATAAATCTAGCATGAGGTAAGTTAACTTGGAAGAGTAGCTTCTTGCATGTGGTTCTCTCTCCAGTATATAATGACAGGAAAGGAAATACAGAAAAGGTATGGCAGTGTTTCATGAAGTTTTGGCAAATTACTGTAAGTTTTCAAACTTCCCTAAACTGTGGCAGTGGTTCCAGAGTGTATTTAAAAGTGGCTTATATTTTTAAATCCATGTTAACAGAATCAAATGAATTACTCTTTGGAATTAGAAAGGTGTTGGACAATGTTTCCGTCCCTTACTTGTCCATACCTAGGTCAAATGTGTCCATACCACTATTTTGCTCTGGTCTTTCCCTGTTGCTAATGCCCTTTTCTCAATCAGAATTGGTAAGAACATTCAGTAAATATATCCTTTGAGCTTGGTGTCCTAGTTTGGTCTCCTTTGAGTTTTTTGGCCAGTCTGTAGTTCAGTAGGAGCTGAAGAAGTTAATTCCCGGTTGCGAGCTATTCTTTTTCCCAAGTGTTGAGCAGCCATTGTAGCAAAGCCACAAATACTTCCAGCATAGTCCCAGATAGTTTGTGTCTGGCTGGGCATTAAATGCTTGGGCCTCCAAGCCCTATAAATGCTGATTAATTTCTGATACAGTTCCATTATCAGCTGTCATACAACCTTCCTTAGCTTGGGAACAGCTGTGTCATTGATCATAATGGATGTTGGTATTGTCTGCACTGGAAGGCACATTAGCAATATCAATCTCAACCCTAATTCTGAGCATGAAATCATCAAAGGCATTTAGACAGTAACAAGAACCTTGGCTTTCAGGACCTTTTGGTTCAAACTAATTTTCTGAACAATTATCTGGCCTCCCAGGTAATTTTTACTGCTTCTTCAAGTTCAGTTTCATCAGCTAGCTGAGGTGGGCATAAAATAATTTGTCAGCTACCTTTTCCTAGAAAGAAGCCTGTACATATGGTGTTGAGCCTCCATTATCAGTACATGGTAGTGACCTAAAGCCTCTCCAGATCTTTAGGCCTAGTTGGGTAACAAAATACTACTTTTCTTGAATTTTTTTCTACACTGAGTTAATTACCTTCCTGCTATAGTAGCTTTCTTTTAAGGGAGAAGAATTTCTCTAGGCAGAGTGGAGAGGCAATTTGTGTACAATATGGCTGTGTTAAAATAGCCAGAGAACAAGAATAATCTTAATTGGGATACTGAGCAATGTTACTTGCCTCCTGTAATACTTTTTAGGAAACACTAAATCCCACTTGTGTGGTATATAGTCACTTGTCTGTTGACTTACCCTTTCCTTCCTGTGTTGGGGAATTCTTTATATATCTTTCAATCCAACAGTACCATATTTAGAAGGGAAAAAAAATTAGTCATAACGGCAAAGTGAGTTATCTCTTCTTGATGTCATAAATTAAAAACATATGTCTTTCCTTTCTTATGAAATATTAAGAACCCTTTGTAATCCTGCTTCCAAAGTTTTGGAGAATGTTTTAGTTTTAGTAGATAGGAATGGGGCTGGCCCAAAAATAATATATACAATTTTTTTTAATATAACAGAAAGCATAGCAAATGAGTATCAACAACACAATAACAACCAGACAAAAATCAGTATCTGGAAGCAGCATGTATGGTTTACTGCACACACATAGCTGTGTGGGTTAATAATCTAGAGAGGTCAGTTGCTGGAATAGAAAGTCCCATACAGAAAATTGATACCTACTTGAAAATTTATGAGTACAATGTGAGACATCTGCGTGCTTTTAATAGCGTAATTAGAGAGAATAAAATTCTCCCTGCTGCATTAAATTCAGATTTAGTACGTCAGTATTTCCTAGTGTGAGATGCCTCTGCCTCCCTGTAAGTGAAAAATTATATAGATCCCAGTGCCTTTTTCAGTGGAATATAGACTGATTTCTGATGACTCCTTGTGTCTGGTATTCTCAGGAACAATTTTGGGAGATAAAATATAATCCACTGTCTGGCAACAAACAAAGCTGTAGTTCTTTTTTAAACCTGATCATATTTTGGACAAGAATAGGGTATTAAAAATAGCTTGGTAAGGGAAAAAAGTTGCTTCTAAATAGCAGTATTAAAAAAAAAGTTCTTTCATTTTGTCCCTTTTCTTCTAGGAAAAAACATTGCTTGTAGCTTTTCCGTATTTTTGCTCTTTTGGCACTTAATTCATCTGACAGTTGCTCTTTGTTTTGCTTGTTGGTTGATATAATGTTTAGTGCCAACTGGCGTCAGTCAGAGATCGAGGCTGCCTGCCACAGGTCTGTACAAACACTAACAAAAAGATAGGTCCTGCCAATGGTAGTGTGCGCAAGTATAACAAGGGGCAGCTTCTACAGCCCCTGCTACATGTTACAGGTATTGTGCAATTAACTGGTTAATTGTGCAGTTACCTGGAGACCAGCTATTTGTGCAAAGTAGCCATCGCACAATAAAAAGCTCCAGCTAGGTATAAAGTTAGACCTCAAAAAGTGTACTAACTTTATAGCTGGTTTCTATAGACCTTTAATTTGCATGTGTAGGTGGGTCTCCCCTGTGGCTAGGAGCCCCATCAGCTGACCAGGCTTCCAGCAGCAGGAGTGCACCATGTCCAGTATGGAACCCCTGAGCCCTAGGAATCGTGGCAACTGCAGTCCCTAGGGTCTGGGGGTTTTCTGTGCCCCCAAGCCCTAAAGATCATGGCAGCCATGGTCCCCAGGGTCTGGGGGGTTTCACCTCCTCCCCCAGCCCTAAGAATCCTCTGGCCCTGGTGGTTCCCTGCACCACTGGGGTCAAGAGATCATTGCTGAAGTGATCCTCTGGGCCCTGGGGGTTTCATGCACTCCTGGGTCAGGGAAAATGTCGCAGCAGGGATCGTCCAGTCCTGGGTATGTATGAGGTGCCCCCACAGCTGGAAGCCCCTCCACCAGGGTGCATGTCTCTCCCAGTTGTGGGAGCTTGCTTTTTGCTGGTGCTGGAGGAGCTTGGGATCGGCTCCCCCTGCATTGGCAATAAGGCTTAATGGGATCTAATGTGTGATCCCACAATCGTACCTCCTGCCATGAACGTGCAGCATGTCAGGAGGTGTGATTGTGTGAATCGTGTCTTAGATCCCATGGTGCCTTTACCTGCATGTGTGCAGGGGGCCTAGGTACCCTTTACATTTAAGTACACCTCTCAGTCTGCAAACTCCTGGCCAGAGCCTATTGGTTGTTCTTATAAAATGAATGCAAGCCATCTGGCTTGTGCTCCTTTTTATACTCACTGCTTATGACTGGTCTCTACTTTATTCCCCTACTACCTTCATCCTAGAACAGAGGATGAAATAAAGCTGTATATTTGTGGTTTGTGATTAGCATCCCCAGGCACCATAATATCAGTCTGTTTGATGAGATCACAACGCATGCATTTTTGATTCAGGACATAGCTTTGCTTCACAGAACCGTAATTTCAAGGTTGGTACATACCTGTTTTGAAGCATTGGCATTTAAAAAAAAAAAAAAGGCTATTCTAGAAAACTTGGAGCAGGAAAAAAACCCCACACTTATAAAATGTGATAGTTAGCAGGCTGTCAAACTTAGAAACTTGCTTAATCATTACAGATTTGCAGTCTATAACGAAAGTGAATGATTAAAAACAAATCCTACAGGAGGAGTGAAGGCAATCTGAGGTGGAAGGGTTTTCCCTATAAAGAATATTGAATTAATGATGGAGTTATCTAGAAGGCAAACAAAAATTAAATTGAGCCAACTTGGTCATTTTTTGTCATCTTCCTAAATGACATTTTTTTAGAAGTGAAAAAATATTTTTAAATTTGCTGGAGCTGATAAACTGGAAAGTCAGTTTGAAAATTTTAACTGTAGCTGGTAGCAAAAGTAGTTTCTTGTCTCAGATACTTTTACTGTCAATTAAACTTGCTGGTTAAATATGGGGTTCTGGCTGGAATTCCTGTTGCTCTAAATTAGTTTGCCAGTATAAACTATTTTGCTATTCTTGCATTGGATTTAAATCCATGTAGTGGAGGTTTGTTTCTTTCCTAGGTTTTTTTCCATTAACGTACTTACCAGGGTATTAAGAATCAGATGAGGTGCCTACCAAGGCATAGAAGACTTTTTTGCATTTCTTAAGCATAACTTAAGAAAAAAGTTGTTGAACCAGTGGGCACCTTCAGGATGCCTGGACTCCTTACATTTAGGAAGAAAGGGTGGGATTTTCAAAGAGCCTAAGGGAGTAGGAGCATGAGTTCTGACATTTAATAGGCCTTGGACACCTAAGCTCAAAGCACTTGTGAAGATATCGCCCAAATCAAACTTGACAGACTTTCTTTGAGGCCTATAATATCCTTGCATATTACACTTAAGTTAAAATGAGCTTCTGTAGCCAGGGGCCAAATTAAAGAAATTTACTTTTTTCTTAAAATGATTCTTTCATTGGAGATCCTTACAGTGCTCTCATAAGCGTTCTTAGCACTTCTATCATGTGTTTGGTTTCTAAAGCAGTATGCAAACATTGAGGCTTACTTCTTGTAAAGTAAGTTATCTCCATTTCACAACTTGTGGAAACCTGAGAGGTTAAGTGTCTTACCAAATCTGTACAGTTGTTCAGTATGGCAGAACCAATAGTAAAAGTTGTGAGTTCTTGTTTTAATCCTGTTCTTCTAGATTATATACCAAGGTTTATTTTGGCTTTTTTATAATGCTTGACCCACAAGTGAGTGTGAGTGCGAGTAAGTCACGGGGTAGATCCAAGATCTTTTATTAGATCAACTAAATAGTTGGAAAAAAGTTCTTTGCAAGCTTTTACCCAACAGCTTGCAAATAACTTTTTTTCCAGCTATTTAGATGGTCTAATAATATTTCACATCTACCCAAAGAACCTTGCCTGCCTATGTCCTTAGACCAACATGGCTGCAACCTGTGTGTGTAAATGACTTTCATCATTCATACATAACCTTGTCTAACTTTCATTCTTTCGAGCTTTTCATGGTAGTTGTTTTTTCTTTTGATTCTAATTTACTGTTTCATAAAGCGAGTGATTGACAGTCAAGCAGAGAAATTGAAAGAACTGGACAAAGAAATCCGTCCCTTCCGACAGAACTGGGAAGAGGCTGACAGCATGAAGAGCAGTGTGGAGTCCCTTCAGAACAGAGTGACGGAGCTGGAGAGCGTTGATAAAACCACAGGGCAAGGAGCACGAAATACTAGTAAGTATAAGGATGATGGAGTGAAGGATGACCCAGCAGCCTTTACTTTAAAAGAAAGGCAAATGAGCAATTTTTGTTGCTCTTGTGATTTTCTCTGTTGAAAACATCAATAATGTTGACCCTTCAGTATCTTGAAAGGGAATTATGTGCCTAATCTTTTTCTTAATGGCACGACCCTGCTTTACAGGCTATTTCTTAGACTTGACTCCCATCTTACTTTCTTGTGACTATGACCTTGATTACACTTGGAACTTAATTGGAAGTATTTTCTCTGCTGATTTTAAAGTATTGACAAGTCTTTTTTTGGTTAATGTTCTGCCCTTAATAGATCACTACTATACTTATTCACTTGAAAATGTGTTTCTAGGTATAGGCTGACACTCTTTTATATCCCAATAAAGGTGAATGTTTGATTCAAGAAGCTGAATGAGATCTATTTGAGTAATAATGTCAATTGTTACTTTTTGAACAGGGTGGTGAAAACCAGAAGTTAGCAGTACAGTGTAGATTGCTCTTAAGAGTTCAGACAATATTGTTTGGGTCAAAGGGAAATTATTTTGTAAAGATAATTTTAGTAAAAAGTCTGCTGCTTGTGAGTACATTTAGTTCTCTACACTCCCTGCTTTTGTTAACTTTGACAGAGTAGGAAAATACAAAGGAAAAAAGTGACAAATACTATTTTCCATGAGAAGAGAACAAAAGAGCCAATAAAAAGAACCTGCAAATAAAAAAGCGCTCAGCCACAGTTGCAGAAGAATATTTAGTCACAATAGAGCAAGATGTGGGGCGAGGTGGGTACGCTGGAGGGGAGGGACAGAATCCAGCTAGATATAGACTGGTTACAGAGGTGGGCAGATGAGAATAGGATGGAGTTCAACACAGACAAGTGCAGGGTGCTGTATCTAGGGAGAAGGAACCAGCAACACACCTATAGGCTGGAGGAACACCCTTCTCAACAACACAGTGGCAGAAAGGGACCTTGGAGTCATTGTTGACTCCAGGATGAACATGCGCTGCCAATGTGAGGAAGCGGTCAGTAAGGCTAAGGCGCACCTTGTCGTGCATCCGCAGATACATCACAGGCAGGTCCAGGGAGGTGACCCTTCCCCTCTGTGCAGCGTTGGTCAGGTCGCAGTTGGAGTACTGCGTCCAGTTCTGGGCGCCGCACTTCAAGAGGGATCTGGCTAACCTTGAGAGGGTCCAGAGGAGGGCCACTCGCATGGTCCAGGTGCAGCAGGGCAGGCCCTACGAGGAGAGGCTAAAGGGCCTGAATCTATTCAGCCTCCACAAGAGAAGGCTGAGAGGGGACCTGGTGGCTGTTTACAAACTCACCAGGGGTGATCAGCGGAAATTGGTTGAGGCTCTGCTCCCCCCAGGCACCACCGGGGTTACTAAGAATAATGGTCACAAATTGTTAGAGAGAAGGTTCAGGCTGGACATCAGGAGACATTACTTCACAGTTAAGGCTACCAGGCTCTGGAATGGGCTCCCAAGGGAGGTGGTGCTCTCTCCTACCTTGGGGGTCTTCAAGAGGAGGCTGGATAGATATTTGGCTGGGGTATTATGACCCCAGCACTCATTCCTGCCCGGGCAGGGGGTCAGACCTGATGATCTGTTTAGGTCCCTTCTGACCCTAAGCATTATGAAACTATGAGCATAGCCTCACTTTTCACTTTTAGCTCATAATATAACATTGTCTGATCTTTCATCCAGGATTAATAGCAACAAAAAAAAAAGAAAAAGAAAAGATTCTGTGCAATTCAGGATGTTCCTACATTAAGATGGGATCACATACATTTAATAGTAATTTCTGAAGGCTTCTGCAGTAGCAATCTTTGCTAGTAAACATTGATAAAAACTGGTTTAGGTGGCAATATCTATGGCTTTATGGCACAGTGCTTTGAACAGTGTTTCTAGTGGATCATAGGTTCATAGATGTTAGGGTCGAAGGGACCTCAATAGATCATCGAGTCCGACCGCCTGCATAAGCAGGAAAGAGTATTTCTTGTAACCCCCGGGGGCGCCTTGGTGAATAAAACCTCACCAATTCCCTTCTGTGCCCCCGTGATGAACTTATAGGCAGCCACAAGGTCGCCTCTCAACCTTCTCTTGCGGAGGCTGAATAGATCCAGTTTCTCTAGTCTCTCCTCGTAAGGCTTGGTCTGTAGGCCCTTAACCATACGAGTGGCCCTTCTCTGGACCCTCTCCAGGTTATCCGCATCCCTCTTCAAGTGCGGCGCCCAGAATAGCACGCAGTACTCCAACTGCGGTCTGACCAGCGCCCGATAGAGGGGAAGTATCACCTCCTTGGATCTATTCGTCATGCATCTGCTGATGCACGATAAAGTGCCATTGGCTTTTTTGATGGCTTCGTCACACTGCCGACTCATGTTCATCTTGGAGTCCACTAGGACTCCAAGATCCCTTTCCACTTCTGTGCCACCCAGCAGGTCATTCCCTAGGCTGTAGGTGTGCTGGAAATTTTTCCTCCCTAGGTGCAGCACTTTGCATTTCTCCTTGTTGAACTGCATTCTGTTGTTTTCTGCCCACTTGTCCAACCTGTCCAGATCTGCTTGCAGCTGTTCCCTGCCCTCCGGCGTGTCCGCTTCTCCCCATAGCTTTGTGTCATCTGCAAACTTGGACAGAGTACATTTCACTCCCTCGTCCAAGTCACTGATGAAGACATTAAAGAGTATCGGTCCAAGGACCGAACCCTTTCATTTGAATTCTTGAAATTTTTACTGGGTGTGACCTCAATTTCCTCTATTACGTTAAAGACCCAAATAACATTGTTACTTATTTTATGGCAGAATTATTATCAGTGGAATTTGTCACAAAGGTGATTAACCATGATTTGGTTCTTAAAACAAGATTTTACTATATGCAATAAGAGCGCTGGTGATACTGATTTATAACTCTATGTATTTTTCTTTTTTTCCCCCCTTACACACATTTCCCCTGTTCTGTTAGGTCTGCTGGAGACGCAGCTAACTCGACACGATCAAATGCTGAGTGTTCATGATATTCGGCTGGCTGACATGGACCTTCGATTCCAAGTTTTAGAAACTGCCAGTTACAATGGAGTATTAATTTGGAAAATTCGAGATTATAAACGTCGAAAGCAAGAGGCCGTGATGGGAAAGACACTGTCCTTGTACAGCCAGCCCTTTTATACTGGATACTTCGGCTATAAAATGTGTGCCAGAGTTTACCTTAATGGTGATGGCATGGGAAAAGGGACGCACTTGTCATTGTTTTTTGTCATAATGCGTGGAGAATATGATGCATTGCTTCCTTGGCCATTCAAACAGAAAGTGACTCTCATGCTAATGGATCAAGGAACGTCTCGCCGTCACTTAGGAGATGCTTTCAAGCCAGACCCAAACAGCAGTAGTTTCAAGAAGCCTACTGGAGAAATGAACATTGCATCTGGTTGCCCAGTCTTTGTGGCTCAAACTGTTCTAGAAAATGGAACGTATATTAAAGATGATACTATTTTTATTAAAGTCATAGTGGATACATCGGATCTACCAGACCCCTGACATATAGCCAGGGAGACAGATTAAAGAGAAGACAACTCCATTTGGGGGTTTTATATCAGTTTGTCTTCAATCAGCCGTCCTAAAGCTCAGAGAACCACTTTGTGGAACAGAAGGAAGAGTTTGAAGGCATAACTGCTTAGGGTCCAATGGCGAAAGTAGCAACACATTAAGAAATCATACCATGGTATATTTTTTAATAGAACTAGCAACACTTAAACTCTGAAGAATCGTTTTTTCCTCGTGAGGATAATGATTGCGGTCAGAGAGGCTTTTTTTTTTTAATTATTAATGATCTAGTCAATTGGAAGTGAAAAGACACATACAGTATATGCTGGATAAATTACTTGACTTTTCTTCCTTTAAGCTAGAATACAAAAAAAGTTCACATGTGGGCTAGAGGGAAACTGTCAGCATGTTAAGTAAAAGAAGAAATGATGAAGTAATGTTTCAATTATGATATTATCACTTTGAAAAACTAAGTGCAATCTTGTCTGAAATATAGTATATTGTCTTTTTAAGGCCTCACCTGGTCTCTGTTTTAATAATTACTTTGTCAGAAGACCTTGACAAATATCCATGTCTTCTTAAAGTATCTAAATCAGAATCATATTTTTATTTAAAGTTCTATTGTTACAGAAAACATTTTATTTTAAAACTGTTGATAGACTGATATTTCTTGGAAGAAAAATAGAAGATATCAAAACACTGGTTATCACTTGTGATAGGAAACGAAACTATTCAACTATTGCTGTTATTTCTCTTTAGAAATGTAAACCTACAATATATGTCGTAGTTAATGACACTATTTCAAAATTAAGGAAAAATCACTCATGGATGCTGTGCATCATTATCAGATTTATAATTGTTTTCACCCTAAACTAGGGCATTTGTTGAACTTTGGAGTTCTAAACGGAATCCTGTACATTTTTTAAAGTTCTGCCCCATGCTTTCCAATCAAGCTATATATATTGCTGACAGCATAAATGTGCAACACATAGTATTTGCAGTATTGGGGAGGAGGTGTAATGTTTAAAAAAGAAAAAAAAGCCACTCATGATCCTGTATGTTCATTTTGTACTAGCAGTCATTGCTTCTTATTGAGGACATAATTAGCAATGTCTTAATGGAGAGATGGTGGCTTGCATGCATACATGTGCCTTAGGTGTGATGTGCTGCTTATAAACCATAGCTTTTTATTCAGATTAATTCTAATATCTGAAATGGTAGCTTAACTGGACTTCAGACATAATGTGTAGCCTTGTCTTCAGAGCCCTTAGAGTTTGCAACATGTAAAATAGAAGCCAAAGTCCATTTTTGGCTACCGGAGCTTCTATGGCTTGACCATGGTGGAATCCATCTTACTCAGGTGCCAAAACTTTATGCACAGTGCTCCTATGGAGCTTGGACTTTGAGAGCGCCCCCCCAGGCTAACGTGAAGGAAGGAGTGATGCTTCCTCCCATGCCTGTGTATGAAAGGTGGTTGTACTTTGAAATGGCCCATCTGAGAATGCTAAGAGGCTGTTACTGAAAACACTCACAGATGGTAGTGCTGACAAGTGTCTTAGCACAGGTTCCTTCATCATAACTGCCTGAGTTTTAGTGGAAAGCATTTCCCAGCCCTGAATCATGCTGGCTGATTCTTCCTTTTTTTAATAGTCTGAGACAAGTCAGCCTAGTGGCATAACCTGACTATATATCAGCCATTTGGTGCTTCTTAATATCCGAGGTATGCCTCAGCGGAGACAAATATGTTCTCTTGTCCCTTTTTTGTGAACCTTGAAAGGGAATTGCACACCTCATTCTTGGCTGTCAGGTTGTGTCCATTCAGTTTTCCACTTCTGGGGGCATAGCCACAATTTTCATTGAGGGCTCAGTTGAATTCATGCCTTTGTAGTTCAGCTTTGTCTTTGTTGCCATTGTCTTTTATGGCTGTGCCTTCACACGCAGTGCCTGCAAGAAGTTCTTACAAATATACAGTGCATGCTGAGTGGTCTTCATGGGTTTTCCAGGCACCTGCCACAATACTGCCTGCTTCTTGGCAGCCAAAACATTCAGTAGCAACTCGTCTTCCTTTTCTTGCCTTCCATTGTCCAGGTACTGTATTCCCTTTATGGTACAAAGGTGTCAACAGGTGCAACCTACTATATGGAGGCATGTGCTAGTATTTAATTTCTGGCACAGAAGGAGGACTTCTGCAGAAAAAAAAACTTATGGCACTTGCAGTTTCATGCAGGCTGCATATGTAAACCCATCACTTATGCTTTAGGGTAAGGATTTACTTGACTTGTGTATCATTCAGTAGCAGCGACTGTAGGCAGCCGAGCTTTTGTGTATGTGCATCACAGAATTTTACTGAAAACAGGATTCCCAAGTGGAAATGTCCAAAGGACTCTTCTCCCATTGCGAATGCATGTACTGCAAAATTTAAATGAGATCGTATGGCCATGTGAAGACAGTTTATATCCTGTTTTGAATCTGGGACTGGAGAGATGGGTATTATAATCTGGGCCCAGTGTGTTCTGCATATCTGTGGCTGCAGACTCTCACTTTTGCAATAGAATTGTGCTCCTGAATCCAGGCTTGTATTTTAATGGCTTCTAACCCTTGTGGTTGTTAGAGAATTTGAAAATATGAGCAAAGTGCAAAATAATAATTTAGTCTTCCTGAGTCTGCAGAAAGCCTAAAACAATAGCTCTAAAAGGTCTGAATACCATATCTCAGTGGGATATTCACTTGGAATCTTCTGATGAAGCTAAATGTCAACATGGTTAATATTTGACTGCTGATCGCTGCAGCCGAAACATCAGCCAGCATTGGTGAACTGCAGATCCCAAACTGCTTTTCATGCCTCCCCAAGTGCCAAAAGCCCCATCTGTCAAAACAGCTAGGTTCACTCTCACAGCTTCTATAATGCCGTAACCTGCTGTCAGTACAAACATATTTTGGCATGTGCATTGTTTGATATCAAAATAAATAAAATGGAGGCCTACTAGGGTTTATTAGTAATTTTAAAAACTCTGTGAAGCTGGCAGAAGATCTTCAGGCCTCCTGCCTACTGCAGAACCCAGGAATCTTAGTTCAATTTTCCATGTAGCCTCTTATGGAATACGCAAGGGCTTGACTAAAATCTTTCATTGCAAAACCCACTGAATATCCCTAAGCTGTGAGACTTATATTGCATATGCAGAAATGCATTCCCTCAGCTTTCCAGTAATGAGCATGTAGCATTTAGTGAAAATAAGACCATTCTTTATAGTCTAAGCAGAGGTGAAAAGATGCATTCTGCTTCACTCCTGGGGACTGGGTAAAATTATTCAACGTTTTTTCCCCAAATACACCTTTTAAAAATACATTTCTGTCCCAGGTATTTAGAAATCTTTTGGGGACCTTGTATAATCTGCCCTCAAGTACACCCATGAAACCCCATTAACTTCTGGAGTTGCATGAGTGTACTAGAGGGGTGCCATCGCATTCGTGTGACAATGCTTATAATAACTGTAGAGAAGGATTCTTCAGTAGCTTCCTGTCATTATCCACTGTTTAGTTCTCCTTAGCAATGCACAGCCAAGTGTAATTGCTGTTTGTTTCATACTAGTGACTCTCCAACTTGATGTATAAGCATCTCCCACGGCTATCTTTTACATCTAGTGAAAGGTTCTTATATACTGTAAGTTGAAGGTTGCCTTTGTGGCTGTATATTACCAATAATACACATGTTATTTACAGTCTCATATTTTAAACAGGATGAAACGACTTCAATGTTTAAGGACTAATCTGAGATCCTTATGCATGACCATGCCTGCATTGCTTCTTTAATCTTAGTAAAGGAATCTTGTTTCAGCTATTGTTGACATGGTACACCTTCGCAACTTTTAAGTCGAAGCTGACTTAAATATGCAATGTTGATTTCAGCCTTGTACTGTAACTTTGTTGTTCTTCTCAAAGAGAATGTGCAATAGGAAAACAGAAAAGGATGGCATACATTTAACAATAGTGACATTTAATGGGTGACATGCTAGCTATCTTATACATATGAGATGCAGTTTAATTCCTTTTCCAAATTGATTTTTCTGTTTGGAAAAGGAAAGATGAAGATATGAAATGTGCCTGTTTCTGTGCCTGGTGAATCTCTCAAATAAAGGGTAATGGAGATTTGTGTCAGTTGTAGCAGGTACTGAACCCCATGCATGTTAGGTTACGATTGTAGTGCTCAAGTTGCTCAACCTGCCCTGATTATGGCATGTTGGGACTGAGTTTAAAAACCACCTATTTGTATCTATATCCCATCATGTGGAATAGGCGTTTCACAAATAATGCAGTTTCTAGGAGTATTGGTTCTGTCCAATGCTAGGCAGAAGTTTGCAGGGAATTATCAGAAAAGTAGCAGTCTGTACCTCGTGATAGTATAAAACGTTACTGCAGTCTTGATGCCTTGATCTGTGTTAACTATGCAAATATATAAATAGGTGGAAAGAAAAAAATATTATAAACCTAATCTCTTAGTTTTCACTGTTTTAAAAATGTTTATATATATATATATATATATATATATATATATATATATATATATATTCCAGGTTTGTACATCAGGCAAAGAGTCATTTCTTTGTGTAGAAATTATTAAAATAACTCCAGCCCTCCAATTATTCCTGGTCTAGTGGTACCAAATATATTTTGCTGCTGTTACGGGAGAATTGTGGATAATTGCAAACCTTGGATTTCCTTTCCAGGTTTGTAGACCTAGCTAGCCCACTGCCCATCAAAGCTGCCTCGTCTCACCAATGGAGCTTACTGAGTCCTCCTGAAAACCTTATTGGAAAGTTCTGTGGAGTGACAACTAGGTCACATGTCCTTCCTTTCACTTAGTTCATTCTCCTTTAAAGAAAAATTGGTGGTGGACACTTTGTTGGAAAGGATTTGTTTTATAATTTGAAAACCGAAAACAGTGGTAAAGCAGCTGGACCCGTTCCTGGCTTTCTTATAGCTACTTCAGCCAATACCCCTTGGCTCTGGTTGATTTAAATTCCTGGTTACTTTGGTAAAAGTCAGCCTCAATTTTTGATTCTTAGTGCTTTGTCCGGTACAGTGAGCACTTTTCATCTACAAGGCTCTTTTAGTGCAACTAAAGTAACTAATCCTTACTCCTATTCTACAGATGGGTAATTGAGGATGAGAGAGTTTAAATCACTTGCTTAGAGCCATAAACAGGGTTTCTGTTGGAGCCAGGATGACATCAGAGGTTCCAGTTTCCTAGTGCTGTGCTCAAACCACTGGACTGCATGTAATCTCTAAATGGAGCTGAGAGACAAGTGAAGTGACACATCTTGAAAACCCATAGTCAAGACTGAAAGGGCTAGACTTAAACACACAATCTGTCATGACTTGGGGGCATGCGTATGGAACAGCCCACTTGTCCACACCGTACCAATTCTCTGCTTCACAGGACTAACAACTGGTGGATTGGAGGGACAGTACAGCACTCGTGTACGTAATAGCAGACAAACTCAACTTCTGGTTTCTGTTTATGTAGGATAACCCAGTAGAGTAAGTCAAGTTTTTTTTTTCTTTTGATGTTGCTCACATCTGGGCAACTTTGTAAAGTTAATTAATTTTGGTTCTCTTGGCCTATACTGTGACCCTTTCTAAATCTATTTTGTTCAGCCAAAAAAAAAGAGGGCTTAACTATTCTTATTTCCTGCCTTCTAATCCAAGTTTCAACTGAGAAGAGCCAGATGAAGGAAGGTTAGTGAGAATTTTTGGATGCAAGTTTAGGAGCATCCCATAAGATTTAGAAGAGTTGAGAGATGCAGCACACAAGGGGTCTGTTTATTCCTATTTCTCTTTTAATTTATCAGCAAGAATGCAGCTTTTGTCTTCCATTTCATGATCTTAGTGTTGATACTAGGCTGTGTTTTTTCCAAGTTAGGATTAGTTCCTTAGGGTTCAGATAAGATCTAAATTTTCATGAAGGTGCACCCGACTCGAAATTCCAGATCACAAACATTTTGAGATGTTTTGAAGTTTAGATCTGGATTCCAACTCTGTGGCTTACTTATCCGCCCTTTCAGGGAAGGGTTTACTGTTCTTGTTGTTTGCTGTTCATGTTTTGGTCCTTTGGAACTAAACTTTTAATTTGGTTAGCCGGTTCTGCAAGGACTTTTTAACTTCTTTAACAATGCCAGTGTCCACACGCACCGTTGCTGGCAATGTGATGCGTAGTGATAAAATTTGACTCTGTCTAAGGGTTACTGAGATAAACCAGCATATTACCATCTGTAAAGGTCATCCTCCTGCATAGTGTTCTGAGCTTTGAATTCAGGTATAGCTCTTGTATGAAAGGACACATTTTCCAACTATGACCTGCGTCACTGGCAGAGAGTTGTATAGTCTGTACTTGTGGAATGGAAAAAAAAATCCAGCTTTTATCATTGCTGATGCACCATATGATCCACATGTTTTCCTTGTAGGCATTGTGTTTATATTACATAATTTTTGGGTTTTATAGAGTAAAAAGGGAAAGTTCAGGATTTCTTATAGATGATATAAAAACTCCAATGACTTAATGTTGACTAGAGAATGTGAAGAACATCCCATTTGGAGATGATGGGCTACAGGATAAGTCCATTTATCTTAGACAAGTAGGATAACCTTAGATGCATAAAATAACATACTAATTGGAAAATTAAAAAGCTAACATTATTTCCAAAAAATTAAAAAAAAAAAAAAATCACATTATTTCCAAGAAATTAAAAAAAAAAAAAAACCTATAGGAAATACATCGGAAATCAAGAATAATGTATAAATTAATATTTTAAAAACTTGTGTAACTACTTTTTGTCTCATACTCTTCAGTGAATGGTACACCTCTTGTGTTCAGTTTTATGATCCAAAAACAAAGACCAAAGAAGGCCAACTTCATTTGATTGTGTATATTCTGCCTGTCTTAATTATCAATAGCTGTACGGATACAGTGCAAGTGATCTGGTAACCAGTGGTTCTCATACTTTTTTTTTTTAAAGGAAAAAAAAGACCTTTAAAATGTAATTTATTGCTCAGCAATAACCATGTTGCTAATGAGAAAAAAAATTAGCGACATGTCTTAATTTTCCAATAGCATTATTATATGTTGTATTTCAGTTTATTGTATATTGTGTTTTGGTATTTATTTGTGTTTGGAGGTCTTGCTATGTCTTTTTTGTGTTTTAAATGCTAATAAACAAGGACAGCGTTTAAGAGTGTAGAATGCAAAACTTTGAAATGCTAAACTGTGTTATTAAAGGAAAATAAATCAAAGTAGGAAATCATATTTTTTTAAAAGTGTGTTGGAATTTGAATGTCTGCAGTTTACTTATAAACAGAGTAAACATCTACTCTTTCACCTTTGTGTGTTCATTTGTATAACAACACTTTAGTGTTCTGTTCACACTTGCAGCTGACGGACATGTATCACATTCCTCTCAAATAGCTTGCTTTGGATTTTAATGGAATCCCAATTTCCACGTGATGAATCACAATTAGAATAAGTGGCATGAGTAAATGGCATAGTCCCTAGGCAGGTAGAGTCAAAGTAATTAAGATGTTTTTTCATGCATTTGTGTGATACTGCTTTGCAGAATATATGAAAGGGGGAGAGCATGGCTTGAATTTCCAAAAAACATAGCTTTCTTTTTTCTCCAACAGGTAAATTGAATATGAGAACAAAAGCAAAAATAACCATGGGTAATTTGTGACTGCTGCAACCAATTTGCATAGTTTGTGCAAAGTCACTCATCCTCTTGAAACCACTTAAATTATATTGTTGCTCAGCCACATTTCAGTTTTGGTGTAACGGTCAAGTGAAATACCATGATTATCGACAGTGAGGTATAAAGCATGTGATTTTTTTTTTTCTTTTTTTTGTCAAGCAGGACAAAGGTACTGGCTCTTAGCTGTCTCCCCATTTCCAGTCCTGTCCACCACCCTCTCCCTTCTCTCTCGAATGCTTTTATTTTTGCCCCCTTCCTTGTTCTTCTGTCTATAATACATTCTTTATTATGGACCTCAGGAACATGTTTTCTGTGCTTACAAATACATTGATAGAACCACCCCAGACCACACTAGCTGTTTGCCTCTTTAGCTATGTCTTGTAAGCAAAATTTCTATGCTTAGTCCTTCAGTGATATGAGGATTTCTACTTGCAGCACACTTTATATATAGAGGTACAGGTCTCGAGAGCTTCTTCCTTGGACCTGGTTTCTTCACTCGAGTACGAAAGCAGCTCTAGCTTGGTAGTCAAGGAAGCAACAACTGAAGCAAAGGGTGGTCCAGCCATTCAAGGCACTTAACAGGTCAGCAAGATGCATAACATGGCATTTAAAGGTGTTGGGCTTTTCCAGAAATGTGAGCAGAGGCTATCTGTGGGTGTGGGTAAGGTTAAGTGCTAGCTACATCCCTCTGCACAGTGTAGGGAGAGCTCTTTTTAATGAAAATAGCATGGTTGAAAAGGCAGGTTGTTTGGAGGGGGAGATAGAAACATAATACTTGTTCTTCTCCAACACTCTTGACCTAGATATTTCCTCCTTTGTTACACATATAGAGTGATTTGTTACTTGCAAATGCAGCTCTGGGCACTCTGGTGTGCCCTATCCCGCATGTCACCTTCTCTCTTTGTATTTCTGTGTCTGGCAGTTGGTACAAATGCTGCATGGGATCAAGCCCCAAGTGTGTTGGTTTACAGGACAGAAAATGGGAAGGAAAGTAATGCTTTTGTTTCTTGTTCTTCAGTGGAACAAACTACCTTGAAGCTGAGTCTTCAGTGACTAAGGGTAGTCTTCTAGCCTCTGGACCCTCTCTAGACCTGGCCTCTTCTGGATGTTTTGTATTTAGCACTGCTCAAAGAATTAACTTTCTATCACTTCCATATGTTGAAGTGGGTAGAGAAAAGGCTATTAAATATGAAAACTAACATGGATTTTTCCCCTAACAACAGGTCACACTTGGAATGATGCATTATTTTGGTCCAGGTGAGAAGTGAGTGTTTATACCAGAAAGTACTTCTGCAAGACCAGTCACAGAAGGTAATTTAGTTATATATAGTCTCTTCTCCCAGAAGGGTTACAGGTAATTTCACCTGGCAGAAGTAGAAAGCTCTCTAATAGAGAACATAGCAGCAGCTTAGAATGGGGAGTGAAGAAAACCTTATTCAGTGTGCGGGGTATTTGTTGACTACAAAATTTATTTCAAGTTAGAATTGGGCCAGGACACTGGGCCCCCTTGCAAGAGTTACAAGATCATGTTTGAGCCTGCCAGCAGATGGGACCCTCAACTTTGTCTTGACTGGAAGATCCAAGGCAATATTTTCAAAAACTAATGCATCTTGTTGACTTTTAGTGAAAATACAGACTTCTGAGAAACTTGAGTATTTAAAAAAAAAAAATTATGTAAGAGCATGTTGCCCCTGCATCTCTAAAATCACAGAGCAGTGAGAAATCGGAGGTGATATCAGCTGGTCAAACACGAGAAATG